TTTAATAAACATTAAGAAATGAAACTGAGCTTTGGGCTAAGGTGAACCATGGGATGTGCCCGCCCTGCCCCCCTCTCCTCCTCCAGGCGGGGCGAGGAGCCTGGTTGAATGGGGGGAGTGTTACAATATGACTTGTGGGGATGCTCATGGAGTCATTTCTGGGGTAAAGGAAGACACGGAAGGGGTCCCCCCCAGCTTCTTGGGGTCCCCGTGGCTCTGACGCGGCTCTCTCTGCCTTGCCAGGTTTCCAGCCGAAGCCGAGATGGCGCAGTGGAATCAGCTGCAGCAACTGGACACGCGGTACCTGGAGCAGCTGCATCAGCTCTACAGTGACAGCTTCCCCATGGAGCTCAGGCAGTTCCTGGCCCCCTGGATTGAGAGCCAGGACTGGTAAGCTTCTTGGGGTCCCCGTGGCTCTGACGCGGCTCTCTCTGCCTTGCCAGGTTTCCAGCCGAAGCCGAGATGGCGCAGTGGAATCAGCTGCAGCAACTGGACACGCGGTACCTGGAGCAGCTGCATCAGCTCTACAGTGACAGCTTCCCCATGGAGCTCAGGCAGTTCCTGGCCCCCTGGATTGAGAGCCAGGACTGGTAAGTCTGCTCCAGGGCCCGAGCCGGGCCTGGCTGGCCACAAGGACCCCACAACTGCAGCGTGTCTTCCTGCAGCAGCTGGTGGGCACCTGGCCTGGCAATCCTGTTCCAAACCGCGCCTACTGTGGCCAAGGTGGCACCGGGCTGGCTGCATGGCGCTCTCCCTGAGTTGCACCCCGCTGGGTTGCAGGCCGCCTGGCCTGGAGGCTTGGTCCTCTGCACAGGGCGAATCTGGCCCGTGTTGAGCCAGAGCTGGTGGAGAGACTTGCAAACACAAGCACTTTCCCCTGCCGCGCAGGCTGACCTGCCCAGGGGGCGCATGTCGGTGGGCAACGCCCCTCGGAGCGGGAAAGGCCGCCCAGGCGCCGGCGAACGTCTGACGTGGTCCCTTGTCACAGGGATTTGACACGTTGCCGGCGGGTCTGGGATTGGGGTTTGGCGCTTGGAGGCTCGTCCCGGGGGCAGGAGGCGGAGGGTGTGGCTGCCGAGTACGCACGGAGCTGGCAAAACTGGCTTGCGGCCAACCCAGCGGTGGCCGCCTAAAAATGGGCCCCGCAGAATTTGCATGTGCAGCTGCCTGAATGAGCGAGCCAGGCCTGCACGCCCAGATGAGCAGGATCTGCAGCCAGCCGACTCCAGCGAGCAGATGGTGCTGGGGGGGGGCCCTCGCTGGGCAACTAGGTGCTGGGGGAAGGGGAGGGATCACATCCCTGCAGGGTCCTGCCCTCGCTGTGCACATGGGAGTCGCTCCCATGCAGTTGCCCTGGGGTGGGGGGCCAAGCGGGGCCGTCCCTACCCGCCCTTGCACTGCGCGCGAGGAGTGTCTGTGTATTTCAACCCTGCCTCGCGCAGGGCGTACGCGGCCAGCAAGGAGTCCCACGCCACACTGGTGTTCCACAACCTGCTGGGAGAGATCGATCAGCAATACAGCCGGTTCCTGCAGGAATCCAATGTCCTCTACCAGCATAACTTGCGCCTAAAGGCTCAAAAACCAGAAGAAAGATTCCAATTTATTATTTTTCAGAAAAGTCATGATTAAGTCAGTCGTGGTTTGTGGGATGGGGTGGGCTCTAACTCGTGGTATTTGAACACTTGGGGTTGGCAGTACTGGCAGTGATTGAAAAGTATTTGATGGAACATAATGCTGAAATCCATTTTTCTTTCCTTCCAATAGTGACATTTGGGGTTAAAATCTGAGACTCCAATTTTGTTAACAAATGAGGTGTGAGGCAGTTTATTTCAATTAAATGCTCCTTTTAAGTTGGTCTCTTCCCAGTGTAGATTATTTTCCAGATTTTTAAATTTCATTTATCACTTATTAGATCTATCTAATCAAGAAATCATTTCTCTGTTCTGATTGGAGGAATGAATTGTGATTTTTTGAAGGACCATATTAGCGTTGTCACACAGTTCTGAAACCTGAATTTGAGACTATTTGCATGGTTAGAGTTAAGATGCATTATTTTCTGCCTTCTCCGTACAGAAAATCATACGTTTCAATAGAAGCTTGAAAATCAGTTCAAAATAAGGGCACTGAAAAAGACTTACATCTGCTCTTGCTTGCTCTTTTACCCTGTCCTTCCACCAGCTTTTTAAATGAATTGCATAGTTCAAGCAGTGTAGAGATGCCCTGATGGCAACTCAGTATATTTCACTGTTAAAGAATTAATTTGCAATTTCTCTGTAACAGGTTTTCTAATTGTCCTCACAGCTTTGTGTAATACTCTGTCATTTCTAATCAGAATTCAAGTAGGCCCAAAAGGTAATTGGATAGTATGTTCTTACATCTGCTCATCAGCCATCCATTTTGCTATTGCTTATTAAAATGGTACTTACCTTAAATCCAATTTGGTTTGTTTACTCATGAATACATGGTAAATACAGCGCTAATCTTTAATAACATCTGGAAGATAGGAGGAGTTTCAGGTCCCTTCAAGAATACAGGGTGTCAAAAGCAGACAAGGCCAGGACATTGGCAAAAGAATTAGACCCATTTTAAAGACCATTCTGCATATTTTATATTTTGTGGTTTTGCTTTAGGAAGGTTAGGGAATAGGTGTGTGGATTTTATTTTTACTAGTTGGAGTGGAAACACCCAGTTGACCATGCTTTTTATATATACCATATTTCCTCAAGATTTTATTAAAAACAGATGTAGATTCCATTGTAGCGTTAGAAAAGATTTTAGTAGTATCAGGGTTTCTCATTTTGAAATTTAGCTCCCCCCACCACTACATTATAAAAATATGTTGGTACTTAATTGACAGTACTCCTTAAACTACATGAAAATATAAAATGTATGTCAACTAGCAGACTACCTCTGGTTTTGTCCCTGTCGTGTTCATTCTTCAAGTATTATTTTTCCTGCTCTTTTTTTCCCCCTCAATTTTTTATTTTAATTTGTCTCCGTATTATATTTGCCCCTTCTTCCTTAATTCTTGGTTCATTTGATTCTATTTGCTTTATTTTAGTGCTCATACAAGCTAGGGATGTCAACGTGTAGCCTACTATACAATTAACCGATACGCTTTGGCTTATGGGTTAATCTTATTGACTACACACACTCCCCCCACTTGCTGCTTCTGTGTCAGAGGCAGCAAGATGGGGGGGGGAATGCGTGTAGGTGACCGGGTTCACTGATCAGCCCGACTTTATCGGTTAACGGTCTGATTGTCTACAGTTGACATCCCTAGAGCTGGCCGGGGTGCCAGCAGGGTAGGGGGCACCCCCCAGGTGTTGCTCACCTCCCTGGGCTGATGGGGCCGTGGATGCTCCAGGGTCCCTGCCCAATGCTCTGAATCCGCAACCCCACGAAGCGCGCTCCCTTCCGCTGTCCAACCCCTGCCCTAGCCGGGGGCAAGTGGCGCGGCAAGGCCGGGCCAGAGACGGTTGGGAGCCAGGCTGGTGTTCCCACTCGCTCCTCACGCACAGACGAGCGCAGGCCAGGGGCCGTCGCGGGTGGGCAGCCCTTGCCTGCCGTGGCGGCAGAGAGGGAGCCGTGTGCGCGCTCGGTGCCGCCTTGTCTGCGACCTGAGCAGGGTGCATTCCTCTCTTCCCCAGGGCCGGCGCTGAGCTGCCAGCCCAAAATGCCCTCGGTTTTCCGGGGGTAGGTTCAGATTCCTGCCCTGCTGCTCTCGCATGACCTCACCCCTTCCAGTCTGTTGAAGAGCTGACTGTGGGCAGTGGTATCTAGTGGTCAGAGCAGGGGATATCAGGCCAGCTCTGACATTGATTCCCACTGTGACCCTGTCCGTTCCCAGGGAAACTGAGGCATGGGGGAGGGGGCTGGACAGGTTCTGCTAACTGCTAGAGAGATACACTTGTGGACTGTGTGTCCAGGGAGGGACCAGCAGCTAATGCTGGACTCTGCAAAAGTGAGACAGATCCACCCTACATTTTAGGCAGGTTGGTTTTGAGGTTTTTTGTTTGTTTGAGGGAGAAACCTCAGCCGAGCAGATTGTGATTCCCAGTTCCTGTTAAGCCCTCGGCACTTCCCTGCGTGGCTGTGAAACGCTCCGCCCCCCCGCTGTGCGCTTCCCCAGCTCGGTGGGGGCTGGAAGTTCCATTTGTCTCCTGTCCCTCTCCCCCAAAACACATACAGAGCAGGTACCTGGAAAAGCCCATGGAGATCGCCCGGATCGTGGCCCGGTGCCTCTGGGAAGAATCTCGCCTGCTCCAGACGGCCGCGACCGCAGCCCAGGTGAGAGCAGGACTCGGCGCTCGGCTCGGGCGGGTCCCTGCCGGATGCTCCCCCGCCCTGGTGTGGAACAGAGACGGGGGCATCGGCGGTCCCTGAGGCCTTGCGGGGTTTGAGGGGCCGTTCCCAGGCGAAGCGGCGCTGCCGGAAACGCGCCGGGCGGCCATCCGTTGGCTTTGGCTGCTGACGTTTGTTTGCGAGCTGTCCCAGCTCCAGGCAAGAGCCGGGCACCGCGCTAGCCCCTGCCTGCCTGAGTCACTCCTGTCTGCATCTCCCCCTGGCCCCCTCGCCTGTGTTCAGACTGTCGGCTCTGACCGGCCGAGCGCTGCGGGGGCCACGATCCGTCGCCCCAATAGCTCGGCGCTGCGGCTGTTTGTGTGCTGGGGAGGTGAAGCCCTGAGCCCAGAGCGCTCGCACCGGCCAGCTGTTCCTGGCGCTACCCCGTGGGCAGGCGGTGACCCTGTGGGGCCTGTGATCCGGCTCTCACAAAGGCCCGTCCTGTTCCCCTCCACAGCAAGGCGGGCAGGCAGCCCACCCCCCGG